AAAAAATGACCTATAATGTCTTGCATACAAACATGGCCTTCCACTTGAAATTTGCACTTGACCAAAAAAGATGGCATGGAGTAGATCTCTTGAATGACATTTTGAGACTTGAACCATTTAAAATCTCTAAAAAATGAGAAAGTTATGACTTGTTGAAGTTAGAAAAAATTCATGAAATGACCTATAATCTTTTGCATCCTTAGGGAATCTTCCATACATTCTCAAACTTTGCATATAAAAGAAGAGTTGAGGTTCACATCTTCAATATCATTTTGGAAAAATAATGGGCTCGAGGAGATAAAAATTGGCCAAGTTATGATCTTTTGAAGTCACATAAAGGATTTTGATGGTTTATCTAGAGGACTTGTAATCTTTCTTCATCATTAGGTATCTTCCACACAAAATTTTCTTGAAACTTTTGAAGTGATTTGTTGATAACTATTTGAAGAGAAGCATGTATTTGGAATAACTCAAAAATGATAAAAGATGAGCAAGATATATCCCTTTGAAGTTCAAAACCCTAGCTCCTAGAGCAACAAGATGCCTTGGGAAACCTTTTCAATTTTGACAAACCTTCTTGCACAAATACATTTGTCATGTAAATAGAAGTTGTTGAGGATGATAATGAGGAACCATAGTAACCATAACCATTTCCAAATATTGAGAATTGAGGAAAATATGCACTTGTGATCAAGAAATCAAGGACTTATCCAATTAGGTCAAACTTATTCAATCAACCCTTGTATCTTTGAACTATCTTTGACAACTTGAGGCATGATGAATCAAAATAGACTTTGTCATGTAATTAATCCAAAGTATCTTCAATGATAGGGCTTGAATATCAATGAAACTTTGTTGAAGAAGGCATGTGAATAAGCTCATGAACCTGTAGATCAACTTGATGGAATGTATTGTGCTTTCACCTATAACATCATCAATTAGGACAAAAATTTATCATATTTATTAGTTAAAAGGTTAATCAATACAAAACATAGATGATCACAAAAGTACAAGTCAAGGTGCTTGGTGATTCCCCATGAGCAAAGCTAAAGATAGGGAGAAGAACTAAACCCTAGTGTGTGATATTGTTGCATTGTGATGGTATGAGATGATAGAGGAATCTTAGGAAAAAAATTGGGATACAAAACTTAGTTAACAACGAACCATGATAGAAATCATCGTGTTCATTTACTGTTATGTTATAAGCTAACTTGTTCTATCACCAATGAAAAGATTTTATTTGGTGAAACCCAATTTAAACCCTCTTTCTTGTGTTTCCACACCTTTAATTGGCATCAGAGCTCCGATTATGGTATTGATAGTTACCAAACACTTAATCGTGTCACATAAAGATTCAGACGAGTTTTTTTCGTTAAATAAACACAATGGTTGAACCCACACTAGTTGTTGTTGCAATAGATTCAAACGATAAAATTTACAATGTTAAACCTCCCATCTTTAATGGAGAAAAGTTTGAATACTAGAAAGATAAACTAGAAAGTTTCTTTCTAGGTCATGATGTTGATCTTTGGGATATGGTAGTCAATGACTACGTACCTCCCATAGGTGCTACGGGAAAAGAGATAGCTAGGAGAGCTATGGATGATCAACAAAATAAAGATTTTAAGAATCATCATAAAGCAAGAACCATTCTGCTAAATGTGATTTCTTATACTGAGTATATGAAGATCATAGATAAAGACTCTGCCAAGTCTATATTTGACTCTCTCAAAATGAATCATGAAATAAATGATCAAGTCAAAGAAACCAAGGCGCTGACTTTGATTCAGAAATATGAAGCTTTCAAAATGAAGGATGATGAAAGCGTTGAAGTCATGTTTTAAAGATTTCAAAACTTAGTTGCAGGACTGAAAGTTTTGAACAAAGGCTATTCAACGCCAAATCATGTAAAGATGATTATCAAAAGCTTCCCATCCAAATGGAGGCCTATGATAACTACACTCAAGATTGCAAAGGATCTGAACAACACTTCTCTAGAAGAACTAATAAGTTCTTTAAGAACTTATGAGATTGAGATAGAACAAGAGGAACCATAGAAGAAAATAAAATCTATTGCGCTCAAATCTGTTTGAAAATCTGAAAAGTCCAAAGCTCTTCAAGCAGAAGAGATTGTGGATTCAAAAGGAGATTCTGATGATGAAGAAAATGAGTTGTCTCTGCTAACCAAGAGGGTTAACCGTCTCTAGAATAGAAATCAAGGAAACAATTTTAGAAGTTCAAGAAGGACTAAAGGTCGCTTTGATTCATCGTTTGGTTAAAGGAAGTCTATTGGCAACGAAGTCATTTGTTATGAATGTAATGAGTCGGAACACTACAAGAATGATTGTCCTCAACTTCCAAGGGATATACCAAAGAAGAAAGTTTTCAAAGGCAATAAGAAAGGGCTAATGGCAACATGGGATGATTCAGAATCGTCTGACTGCGACTCAGATGGAGAACATGCTAACATGGCGCTGACGACTCATGTTGGAACATCTAGTGAAGTATTTCCCTCATAAGATGAAGCTGATTCAGAAACAGAATAAGTGTTTTACAAAGAGGTATTCTCTAATTTTACTCACTCTGAATTAACATACTCCTTAGTTGAAATTCTAAAAAAAATGAGTTACTCAAGATTCAGTTCAAGGATCTTAAAAAGACCCATGAATCTGTATCTATTGAAAACAATAGACTTAAGGAAGAATTCTTTGTTTTAAAAGAAGGAAACTTTTTATTAAAAGATAAAAACTCTACCCTTAAAGGCACAAGAACTCTTACAGAAGCCTCTGAGAGTACTGATGATGTTATTGAGAAATATGACAAAGCCTTCAAAAAATTTCTAGCTAAGAGCATAAGGAGAAGTGTGTTAGCTTCCATGATCAATGGTGTAAGCAGAAATGGAGTTAATGGTATTGGTTATGATCCTCGTGAAAAATATAAATCTAATAAGGAAAACATACCAACTACCTTATACTCTCATTTTGTACCTGTTGGGTTTATGGCAAAAGAAGATGGAAAAGATGAAGAGAAATCTGATTCTGAATCCGATGAAAATAAATTGGCTAAACCAAATAGTTTTAACTCTTGCAAATATGACTATTCTTATACTAAAACCAAAGTTGTTCACAACTTTGGTAGATCTAACAAGAAATGACCCAAGAAATTATAGGTACCAAAGGATAAGATAATCTATGTTGCAAACATCCTTAGCAGTGCAATTGAAATACCTGTCTTGGCATCTGGACTCTGGCTACTTGTAACACATGATGGAAAAAAGGCATATGTTCCAAAGTTTGGAACTTGAGCTTGGAAATATCATGGGTTTCAGAGGTGATCAAAAGGAATAAATCACAGGCTCCGGAACAGTAGCTGTTAGGATGGTTATACCCTTTTTCAATGAAAGGAAGAGAAACAACACTTATGAGATCAGGCTTTCTGGCCTTATAAAACTAAAAATAAATGGTCTCATGTATGTTAATGAGGAGCAGTGGTCGTGGCTCATATGTTTAAGTTGGGTTTGTTTGAGAAAGATTTCTCAGCTGAACAAGTTTGAATTTATCAAAGGCATGCCTTAACTGAAGTTTACTTCATATGCTTTCTGTGAAGCATGTTAGAAGGGCAAAGTTTTCAAAAACTTATTTCAAAGAAAAGAATGTTGTTTCCTTCTCCAATCTATTGGAACTTCTGCACATTGATCTGTCTAAATTAGTGAAAATTATATCAATCAATAAAAAGAAATAAGAATTAGTTATTTTAAATAACTACAACAAATGGACTCAGGTGAAATTTCTCTAACATAAGGATGTTTCACATTATGTATTCATCGCCTTTTGTACTCAAGTGCTATTTGAGATAAAGTCTCAAACTTTGTCAAGCCAATATAGCAAATCACTTTTGGGCAAAGGATGTAAACACAACATGTTATTTTTAGAACAGTGTCTCCATATGACCTATTCCTGAAATGACTTGCTATGAATTATGGAAAAACAAGAAACCAATGTTTCCTATCTTCATCAATTGGATACTCTTATTTTATCACAAACTCTAAAGAAAATCTGAACCTGATTGATTCTATTGCTCAAAATGGTATCATGTTATGATATTCTGAAAGCTCAAAAGGCTACAAAGTATACAACACTGAAATATTTTTTTGGAATCAATACATGTTAAGATTTGATGATAAGCTTGACTCTAAAAAGTCAAAGCTATCTGATAAACTTGCAAGTATAGAGAATTATCTTTTCAGAATATGAAGGTAATGGAGTTACTGCTGAAGAACAAGAAGAAAGAATATCAGAAGATGTTCAATCAAGCGACTCTATTGATTAGACTCCTATAAAGAGAACCTTACAAGATAGAAGATGAAAGTGATCGCACAAGAGACAAAATACATCAAATCAGTATTTATATGCTTTCTGACAAAGTACTTATAGATATCTCTACAAGTTAGAAGTTATTCTATCAAGAAAAAGGTCAAAGTATTCCTGTCAGATATATCTTTTATAGAAATCTCTACACTGCAAATACTGAAGAGTCATTTCATTAATTAATGTTAGACCGTATCTATCTGACATTTTTCCTGTTTATATTGAGGATGTTTTTGGGGAAGTTCTCTGAATCTAATTATTTAGGGATTATTCCTGTTTGTCGTCCGTCTGTCTTCTCTGTTTTAACAGTGCTTTGTCGTATTAGATAAAATAAATAAAAAATAATCTATTAAAATAATATTATTTTAATATTATTTATAAAAAAATATTTAGATTTGGATGATTTTACTTAGTTCATAATCCCTCCATACCAGTTCATGTGAGAATTTTGTATACCTTTCTTCGCCATAGTCGTCACGTTTACAGTTGAATCATTCATTTTCTTTTGCAGTATTTGGACTCTCTTTCATCCCTCCATTTCCCAACTCAACAAAACTCATTCCAACAACGCACAACGATTCCGTCATTTTGAAGCAAACAAACCCATCTTCTTCACTTCGTTGCAGAGCTTAGATGCGCGCCCCACCCGCCAGAAAACTATGCACTCTCAGCTCCTATTTCCGTTCACATTTACAAAACAATCCCCAAAACCACGTTTCCTCTTTCAAAACAGCAATTCCATTTGAAACCCAACACCATTTCGATTCTGACTTGAACCTCTCAACCCTTAAACTCCATGGTCCCTCTCCCTCAGGTACCTTTAACTAACCACCCCCTTTGCGAAAAACTCATAAAGTTTCAATTTTTACACATACCCACACTTTCGTTTCTGTCTAGTTTTATTTCTCCTATTTATTGCATTAATGGGTTTTGTTTTTTTAGAGCTCAATGACCAAATAAATATATAAATTTAAAAACTTTTTGTATTTTTCTACATTTTTTAGTATGCAATAACCTCCTTTTACCTACCATTTGGTGCAGAGGATATGCCTGAACTGGGTGAGGCCACCACTCAGCTTTCTTCTATATTGTACAGTAAGTGTTTGTGAAATTTACTGTGAGACTGCAAGCCTTGTTTATTTTCTTCTTTTTATCTTATGTTAGTGCTGTCTCTTTCTGTAGCTCCTCCGGTAAAGAAGCGTGTTGGTGAGAAAGTTGATGATGAAGAAAAAGAGAAAAGCATAGTGGAAATACCACTGATACTAGACTTTGCTCATGGCGATACTTCAATTAAACGGAAGGAGGTAGCACGGGAGAGGAAACAAAAATGGATTTTCAAAGACACTGGTGGTGAACGATCTGACAGGCTAATCAAAATTTGTGCAAGAAAACTAGGAGCAACTCCTACAGTTGATATGTTTGGCCGCTTGGGTCGAGAAACAGGCCTGAAAGAGTACAATTCATTGATCAGCTTGTGCGTAAAGCAGGCTAGGGAGACTGATGATGAATACGTTGCTACTGATGAATTGGGCAAGACTTATCACCTTTTAAAATCAATGAGGGAACGCGGGCTTCAGTTAGAAGAGCAAACGTACCACCCACTTCTTCAGTATATAATTGACATGGGCTTTGTTCAAGAATTTCAACTTTTCTATGATGTTATCCAAGCTGGTAATCCCAGTTCAGTTTCACGATTGGGTTACTATGAAATGTTGCTCTGGATAAGGGTTAACAATGAAGAAATGATCCGGGATATTTGTGAATACATTACGGTCGAAGAGAGTAGAGGCACTACTTCTTTACGAGGTAGATGAATCTGTTTTTCATATCAGTTCATTTTTTTGGCATTTGTTTCATCGAACTTATATCTGAGCATCCAGTGCATAGGTTTAGCAGCAACATTAACATGTGAGAATTCCATGGTTCCTATATTTTTTGTACACCTATTCACGATGGGCAAATTCTTCTCCATTTGATATGCTAATCTTACCCATATAGCATGTAGTGGGAATACTGAGGATAGATAAATACATCAGATACAAAAGTTTTATGGCATTGTACTGCATTTAACATTTTTTTCTTTGTTTATTTGATTTCTTAGCTATATTAGAAACATGATAAGAAAATAATTCTTACTAAAGTGTATTCCAAGTACTTGGCTGGAATCTAGTTCTTCAGTAATAGAAGTGATTGTGTCAGGCATTGGTGTTTCAAAATCAGTGCATGTGATAACATAATTATCAACAAAATTCTGTTGGAAACTTAGCTGTATTTAATCTTGTTGCAGAAAGTTACTTAATGGCTCTTTGTGAAAGTGATCGCAAAACACAGATTTTGGATGTGTTGAAAAATATAGACATAACAAAGCTTACATCTGCAAAATGTATATCCAATATATTTCAATCCATGGGAAGGCTACAACTGGAATCAGATGCGGAGAATTTACTTTTGGATTTGAGGGCATGCGGTATGTATGGTTATGATATTGTTTTCTTATCTAAGCTCCTTTGTAGATGATAATAGAGGTGGTAAACTGCTCTTTTATTTTGAAAGAAATCACTGATATGCTTCGTTTATGTTTTTGATGTTTTCGCTGATTGTCTCTAGATTTGGAATTAACATTATCATGTAGAATTTTTAAATGCAATTTTAGTTCTATTGTTTGGGCTACATAATATAACGGTAACACTTAAATAAATTTTAGTTTTCAGAGCTTAGAAGCTTCTTAAAGGTAATTACTTTAATTTTCACAAATTCATAAATTTATAATTTTTATTGATCTTAATGAGTAGGCTACTTTTTCCTGTTCTTCCATTTATAAGAGAGAGTGTTGAGGTAGCACATATAGTAGAAAAGATGGTGGAAAATAGACTTAGGTGGTTTGGGCATGTATTCACCTGTAGATTCTGTTGTAAGGAGAGTAAATTAGATGAAGAGGAGTCAAACAACTAGAGGTTGAGGAAGACCTAGAAAAACTATGAGAGAAACTATTAAGAAAGATCTCTAAATTAACGAATTAGATAGAAACATGGTTTTTGATAGAACATTATGACAGTTTGATTCATGTAACCGACCCCACTTAGCGGAATAAAACTTGATGGTTATTGTTGTATCTTAAACGTGACAAGCACACCATAGGAACGTGACTCCAATATGTTGTAGCCATGTTTTAGTATTGATCTAGTCTTTGAGAGAGAGACGGGTAAGAGAGACACTTTTTTTAACGTTTGACCCTTTGAAATCAGAATACTTAGGAAACTATGTGATGTTTAACTCTGCAATTTTGTTATTCTTAGGAATCGTCACGTGAAGGTATAATACTGTTACTTAGATCTTTGCCAAACTCATTATTGGCATTAGAAGCTCAATTCCAATTATGTGTCACAACTCTAACCGCCAAATGGAGTCTGCTATAAATTAGGACTCCAAAATATATATCTTTTAGCCATACTGAATAAGGTGGTGGCAGATGTCTTGTATCTTATTCTACAGTCTTATTGTGGTTGTTAATGCCCTAATTTAGGTTCTTCTAATGCTTTTGCATATTTATCTAGAGTAGTAATAGATGGTGCTAACCTGTTACTAGAAGGCCTATGTATTGCCTTCTATAAATCTGTTCCTTGTATGCATATTAATGATGGTTTCTTATGTAATGCAGATTATGATGCAGATGAAATTTCGAACTTCATTGCTTGTTATGCGGTTAATATTCCAAATTTACCGGTGAGGAACTTCTCATGAATGCTGATGGTAAACACACTTGATGATTTGTGATACTGGGCGGCAAAAGCATTTGAAGAACTAAATATGCAAAAGCATTAGAAGAACTAAAAATATGCAAAAGCATATTTAATTTAGGTTCTCCTAATTAGTTTAATCTGCCCACCTAATTAGTTTAATCTTTTATTTATGAGTGTTCATTGAGATGGTATCAAAGCCCCTAGAGTCAAATAGGCATGACTTCCCTGACCCCTTCAACCCTTCAATATCCCAGCACAAGAAGGTGGAAATCAGAAATGTTTTTATATCTCTAATATTATGCAATATCTTTCTATCTTGTACAGACAATTTTTTTTACAAATCTAAATGTTTTGAAGAATTTCAGACATGCTTCAGTCATTTTACACAGTACAAAACCAAAATTGAGCAATTCCCATCTCAAAACAAGTTTTGTAATGTATGCATTAGAAATATTTCAAGGTTAGTTTTTCCCTATTTAACTGTCAGCAAGAAAAGTGATACTAAAGCAAGACATAGTTGCCTAGGTAGATAGTATTCCCGTCAAATATGATAGCTTAATAGGACAAGATAAAATGTATGCTGCGTATCTTATTCACTTCATTATTTTGTAGAACTATTTACCAAAAATGTTGGGATATACACTGCACTGTATCTCCAAATAGTGGGCATGCTGGATAGAATGGAGTGTAGTTGTAAGAGGTTCTCTCCGTATCCAAATTGAAAATTGTAGAGAAATTTTTAATTTTGTTTAATCATATTTTCAACTATGTTTTATTATTTCAATTAAGCCTTGTGGTCTATTATTTCAATTGGCCCTGAAATTTGTGGATTTTTCCTTAAGCCCTGTGGTCTATTATTTCAATGATTTGGTATGTGTATTCTTGTATAACTTGTAGTTGTAATGTCGGTGATTCATTTTTTATTTACTTTTATCAGTATTATTGATTGCGGAAGGCAAAAAATCCGCCATTAAACGCCATGGCGCTGCCATCATTCACAAATTGGCAATAGCCATTGTTAAAAAATCTGCTGTGCTAGCTGCCATGGCTCCGGTGTTGTCTCTATTTGATAACAACACTTATTAAATAATAGTAACACCTGGTGAAACAAGTTTTATTGCTTGTTAAGTTCACTGCTAAGAGACGCGGGCAAGTTTTGTTTTTGGTACATTCTATCTATCAGGCATAATGTTTTCCCAGAGTAGTTGTATGTTTCGAAATAAATTGTTTTTTTCTTTGGTGTTTTCTTATATGCATTGTTGGTAATGTGAAGCTGGAAGATATCATTTCAAAAATCGAGAGTTTGCATAATATTTTGGAAGTTCTCCCTTCATCCTCATCGTATGAAAAGCTCATTTCGTATTGCTGTGGTATGCACAAGGTATAATATTCTCCTCTTTATCAATTCTCATATTATGGTTATCAAATAATCGGCATAAACACATCTGTGAGAAGGAATATGATGCTTGATTTCTATTCAATAAGAAGTTTTTTTTTTCCGTTCTGTTTTCGTATGCCTTTGGCCCCTGACTAGATTGGAAACTGCGCATCATTTTTTTAAACTTTTAATGCAGGTAGATGCAGCTCTTGATATTGTTGATAAAATGTGTGAAGCAGGCTATATGGTGTCTACTCATATATTACAATCGATATTACAGATTTGTGAGGAAACTTATGATTATATTTTGGTACGATTTATCTTACATAAAGCAGCTTCCCTGTTTTTTCTTTGTATTATATTCTAATTCATTCATTTCTTTGCACAATATGTCATGGAAATTTTCCTATAAACTATTGAACTAGAAGCAATGAAGCATCGGCGTTTGAGTTGTATCACAAGGGTTTGATACGGACTTGGGTATTATGGGGTGCCCAAGTCTCACATTGAGTAGTAAGGAATGCTCGGTAAAGTATATATAGGACTTGGATATTTTCCCCTTGTTTTTAAGGGATGGTTCCCCGTGTGCATATGAAAGAAAAATCCGAAAGATAAACACCAAGATTTAATCAAGATATGAATTGAGTAATTCAGATCTTAATCTAATGTAAACTAGTTCAAGTTATTCTTCCCCAACAAACTTTTACATCTACATAATGGAGTTTATGCTTCCTTTCGGTAGTTTCATGAAAACACATATGCAATGAAGAAGCAACAATGGGTTAACATTTTCTTATTCATTCTATTTTACTAGTATCTGTTTGTTCATTTTCTATTTCCCTTGCCATCCTGAAAATCAAGGTCCATCGAATCTATTCCATCATCAGTCGCCATCACCACCATTTGGAGTTAAATGGTCAAATATGCAGATGTTTGATACATTTTTGTGTAAGATTAAAAGATGTAAGTTTTACCTATTTTATTTTCATGGTTGTATACACAAGTTTTCTACTATGCTATCTTTTGAAGGAAAGCTTTTCACTAAACAAAAATTGTATTTACTCATAATGCAGTTTGAACGCGCATACAAGATGGTTAAGGAATTGAAGGAAATGAATTTCAAACCTACAACAGCCATGTACAATGCCATAATGGCAGGATATTTTCGTGAGGTATCATTGTTGGATTTTGTATATGCCCATGTTCTCGCTCAGATTTTCAACTATTTCTCAAACTAGATAATAATGCTCTGCTTTAACTCAGAATATAATGTGACAAATTTTGTCATTTCCAACATTAAGTTCAAATAACCTCTTGACTTGCATGTCTAGACTCTAGACACTTCCTGAAGTAGATTGCATATACCTTTTTTTCCCCTCATAATTCATAAATAAGATATTTACATCGATGGATCAATAAATAATACACATATAAACCCAGCTTCTATCTTAACGCCAAACTTGAAAATTGGAGATATTGGTTGTTTGTTGAACAAGGGATTGAGCTTGTCTTCTATTTCCAGCGCTTGAATCTGACTTAAACGTGATTTCTTATTATGGTCTGATTGCTCTTTTAGGAAGTCCTGGACCTGAAAAACAAGGCTATTACTGTTGTGAAGGATATTGTTCCTGTCACTGTTCTTAAACAGAAGTCAAAACTTAGATGAATTTCTTAAGAATTGGATCAAGTCAAACATGATGTGTTCTATTTAAAATGATCCAAATCATAAATAAATTACTTAGGTAGTTTGGTAATCTAAAGCTTGGCAGGTAGCTGTCGGCAAGTTCTTGCTCAATGTTGAATCTAGTGGCTACTTGTGGGCATTAACATTTAACACCTTTGCTGTATTTGTGGAGAGTGGGCAAGTTCATTTTCACAACATATCTCTTTCTATAGGGCAACTATTAATATGATTATTAGCTTCAAAATCATATTAATAGTTTCTGTACATGATATCTTAGTAAGAGTATGGCTGTTAACACTTTTTTCTTCTAATGAATTCTCATTCAACAAAAAAGAATTTAAATGAATATTTGAAATAATTCATTCATTTTCTCACCTTTTAAACTTTTTCAAAATTGTAGAAAAACTTCATTGGTGGCTTGGCGGTCCTCAAACACATGCAACATGCCAATGTAGAACCCGATTCACAGACTTTCAGCTATTTGATTAGCAATTGTGAAACAGAAGATGATATAAATATGGTAAGTTGAGTTTAATAATTCCTTATATTCAGATTTTCAGCTATTTGGTTGTGTAGTTTTAAATCAAGTATTTTTATCCCGATTGATGGGAGGCTACCTTATTCAATGCCTGCCCAATTGACCTACCGCGAGTGCTGCCATTCACAGCCTCCACTGTGTTAATGCAGTGTCAATGAACTGATTAACTAATGATATTTTCTGTGAATAGACATTCTGAGCTTAAGATTTGATGTATCAATAGGTGAGTTGCTAATTAGAATATTGTCTTGTAGTATTATGAAGAACTGAAGCAATTTGACATCTACCCTACAAGACAAATTTTTATGGCCCTTATTAATGCATATGCAGCTTGTGGCGAATTGGAGAAGGCAAAACAGGTACAGGGTGCAAGTAACAAGACACATTGAACTTGCATATGCTATGTCTTTCTACGGTGTCCCTTTTGGAGTGACTTTGTAAAGGACATAGCATGTTTTAAATCTCTTTTTTTTTTTAATAAATTTATCGATAATGTTGAGATTAAGTTATGTTTCACATCGCAGGTAGCTCTTGATTCACGCATACCATTAAAGTGCTTAAATGAAATTAAGAGTGTTCTTGTCTCAGCTCTTGCATCTCACGGGCAATTGTCTGAGGCACTTGCTATCTACGAGGAGATCAAGAAAGCTGGACACAATTTGGAACCAAAAGCTGTTATAACACTCATCGTAAGGTTTTCCGTTATTTGTAATTTGTATATCCTCCACTTTCAACCATATGACGTGTCACTGCACATTCCTAGGATGAGTTGCGTCATATAAGTGGAGAGTTGGAGGGGTTGCTTCTTCTACTGAAGGAGTTGAGTGATCTAAACTACTGGGTTGACGGTTGCTTCAGGGTTATTCAGTATTGTGTTGAGCACCGTCATTTAAGGTTTAATTTCTATCTTCCTCCTATATTGATTTGAAGTTGTATTCTTCTATTTGTTTATGTTCATATTTCGTTGTATCTGGGTCAGTTGTGCTGTTGATCTGTTCACGCAACTCAAGGATAACTTCGAAAGTGATGAAACAATGACAGAAGTTCTTTTCGATGCAGTAAGTTCTGTTTGTTCGAGTTTTAAACTCTTTCACACTGCTCTTTGTTATAAAGCATGATGTTTGTTCTCACTTGCAAACATATCATTGATATAAACTTTGTTCACTTGCAAACATATAATATATGTATAGGTGTATTCTCTAATCGCGGGATCCAAGTCCTCACGTTTGCAGTTTGGCTTAGACTTGCTTTGGGCAATCAAGGACGAGCTCGGGCTTGTTCCTTCAAGGCAGTGTCTTGATTTTCTTCTAAGTGCCTGTGCCAATTCAGGAGATTTGAATAATGCCCGTTTGATTTGGAGAGAATACGAGGTTGCTGGATTTCCTTACAATGTATTAAGTTACGTGAGGTGAGTTTTAACTTAGATAGTATATCCCCCTTTTCGAAATAGTATTAGTCTTATCCATATTGATCATTTGTATGGTTGTAGGATGTATCAAGCACTTTTAGCATCAGGAGATCAAAGATCTGCCGACTTTATACTCAAGAAAATTCCAAGAGATGATGTGGAGATTTGTACTGTCATATCAGCATGTCAAAAAACTTACGTTGATAAAGTTAAATCAGTAGAAGGGGAGAAGAAGAAAAAGAATGTTAAATCAGTAGAAGGGGAGAAGAAGAAAAAGAATGTTAAATCAGTAGAAGGGGAGAAGAAGAAAAAGAATGTTAAATCAGTAGAAGGGGAGAAGAAGAAAAAGAATGTTAAACTAGTAGAAGGGGAGATGAAGGAAAAGAATGTTAAATCTGTGGAAGGAGAGAAAAAGAAGAAGAAGAAAAGGAAAGGAACAAAAAAGAAACAAGAGAGTGAGTCTTGAGTAGAAGTTAAATTAGTTGTAGGGTAGATACATTTGTCCACAAATTTTTAGTTAGCTTAAGAATTGTGCTTCACAAAGGGTGATGCATTTCACATGTAATATACCCATTTTATGTTTTATTTAGTTACTAGTGTGGTGGCACTAAATGCTGCACCTATTTTATGTCTATTTTGTGACTCTATTTGCTTGACATAGTTAGAGAAAAGAGTTTTCTTAAGAAATGTAGACTACATAGGTAAATTCTGGTAATTCTTTCACCCGATTTAAAATTCTTGTCACTCATGTCTTTATCCTATTGTCTTTTTATATCATTTTAAAACATTCAAATAATCTATCTTACACATTTTGAGTAATGCTAAAATTACTTGTAGTATGAGAAAATAGAGGATTATCTTCGACATTCTCTTATTGACTAATTTTTGTATGGCTTATGTAATCTAGTGGCTAAAGTTCACCTTTTGCAATTCTGCATTTGATGTTCCTGCATAGCTGTTAATTGAATTGACTTAATGAAACTTGACCTTTGATTGACCAATTAATTTTATCTAAATAATACTGATAACCTCAAGTATTAAGAGAGTTCATATTTTAATAAACTAGGATGAATTGTGCTTTATTTTAATTTGTAATAATTCTTATATTATTTTGATCTTATCGGATCAAAGATGGACCGTCACAGTTGGCTCGGGTAGAAGTTGAATGAGACGGGGGGTACCTGCAAGACACTCCGATGACAAAGTAAGAAGCGGAATGAGCAAGCAAGTATGAGTTATGAGATTTGAGTTGAATACCTGACCCTCTCGAAAGAGAGGGTATTTATAGCCCCCAACGTTGGGCCAAGGTTTCTTTATTGGACTGATCAAACAAGCCCAACAAAGAGTCTGTCAGGTTCTACGTGTGTAGTGGAGACCCGCACGTGGCCCCCTACCTGGATGACGTCCTCCGTAAGACAGGGAGGATAAGGACGCAATCTTTCTGGGTTCATGAAGGCTCCGCGAAATCCGAAGAGGTTGGAAGTCAGCCCTACGAGGAAGGTGCCCGGGAGGAGCGCATGCTCGTTGAAGATGGTCTCTGCGAGCACCGACGGGAGGCAGTATTGGTCGACAAGACATATGTGGTCGGGATGTGCTCGGGGAAAATACTGCTCCGCGCAGCTGGTTGGCATGCCTGGATTAGGCCTCACTGGTAGTTGGGCCAAGGGCAGGCCCAGTCTAGAACAGGAGCCCCCCAAGTCGTTGCTCCTAGTGAAAGAGTTATGACTTGATTCAAGTTCGCCCATTCGCGAGACTCGCTGCGCGACACAGGGTTTTTTACCGTGGACGAAAGACGTCGCCTAGTTCATGATTTGCTTCGTGCAGTGGTTGAAGAGTGTTCGAGGAATACTCGCGGGAAGAGGATGATACACTAGTCAGACACGTGGCGTGGCTCTTGGAAACTACAATGGTGGCCTGGGGAGTAGGGGTCATCATTGTCTATGCTAGTAGGTGTCGAGGAGAAGGGCGGTTTGTGATTGCCTGACGCGACGTTTCACATTCCACGTCAGCTCTATAAATAGGGCTTCAGGGTCCATAACTTGTTTTCACATTTTCGCGCTCCCACATTTTCTTTGTCGTCAACACCGCGCATTTTCCCAATGTCATTGAGACCGCCGCACAATCCTCCGTGTACTTATCTCAACAACCGTCTCTCCTCATCTTTCCTCCAAGTAAGCGTTCTTTTTCTTTGATATCTTGTGTTGTACATAAATTTTGATGGTGTTTAGTGGTAGGATTTTGTGTCTGGAGATTATCCCCGGGGAATTCAAGCGTTTTAGGCGTCTGATTCATGATCGTGCCCGTGGCGTTCATACGTTTAGGCATACGGTTTATGATCATGCCCGTGATATTCATGCGTTTAGCTAACAAATTTATGAACTTGGTTGTGAGATTCGCCCTTTCGTTATTATATAGGCTAGTTTTCCCCGTGGCATTCTTGTATCTGGCTAGCAATGTTATGACCTTGGTCGTGAAATTCATCCTTTGCTCGGGATATTATTACTGTGCTCGCGATATTTATGATTGATATAGATGCCCGCCGTTAAGGTCGGTGTTCGATCGAGGTCCACGTGTTCCCCCTCTTTCGTGCGAATGACCGTCAACTTGGTCTGAGTGTCGCTTACTTCTCCCCGTCCGTGTCGCGGAAAAGCGGATTTGCTGTTGAATTCACCGGTTTCCTGTACTTTGCAGGTAAATGGCCGATATTCCCGAGTCCTCGGAGCATATTGACACCGAGGAAACCAGCACTGCCGAGGAAAGCATTAATCTGGTCGACACTGTCGATGAACCTACTTTGGACTGGGTCAGTGCGAAACCCTGAGGGATAGCTTTGATCTATAACTATATCGGCAGGCATGCTTATACTGTCGTCGAGTACGGCGGCGGCCAGGAGGAGTTTCAGAGAAATTTTAAGATCATGAGGCCGACAAGGGACACCCGCATTTGCTCGGAGTTTACTCAGGACACCTTTCCTATGTACGAGATCGTATTTAAAGATCTCGGGCTCCGTCTTCCTTTCAACGACTTCCAGATGGGAGTGTTCAATCACTTGAACTTGGCTCCCTCCCAGATTCATCCCAATGCGATTGCCTTTATCTGGGCATTCGAACTTACATGTCGTTTCCTGAGGATCAGGGCAACGATTCCCCTGTTCTTTATGGTTTTTCACCTGCAACGGCAATCCCGAGGAGGGAAGCATAGTTGGGTGTCCCTTAAGCACTCGAAAAGGCTGTTTAGGATGTACATGGATTCTGTTCGAGATTTCAAGGATAAGTGGTATATTTTGCAACCGTCTACCCAGACAGCTGTGGATTCGCTGTTCGAACTGACTGCCGTGGTGGACGAGGACGGGGAGCCGTGTTTGGATTTTGAGGGTAATCCCAAGATTGGGAAAGTCTCAAAGTTTCCCATCCACTGGTGTTCGGGCTATTACAATCATGGACCTGGATATTACCACACTCCCGTTGGCGGTATGAGCGCCAAGGACGAGGAGGCTTATGGCGTCATGAATAAATTTGTCGACAGTTTCTTCCCCGCTCGGTGGGTTACGAGGGAAGGGAACGAAATTCTTGACGAGGATGGCGAGCCGACGTTCGAGGCACATCCGATCAACACCAAGGCGCTCGTCGAGTTCCAGTCTTACAGGCAGGCCGTAGAGCTCTTAAGTTTCTTGCTTACTCTATTGATAGCCTTTTTTTTGTTTTCTTCGACGTGGCTAATCCAAGCACATTTCCTTTGTAGGTCACATGGAAGAACATCGAGAGAGATTGCTGAAGCTGACCCAAGATAAGAAGATTGGTAAGAGGTTGGTGAAGCCGCAACAAGCCACGGGAATGGGTCTGACCCCTGAGTCGGCCAGGGAAGGATCCAGTGGGTCCTCGGGTTCCCGTGACACCGAGAGCCAATCTTCTTTGATTAGCAAGAAATAGAGTCGACCAGAAGATGGAGTCAAGGTGACCGATAGAGGGGCGGGTGCCCGGGCCTTCAGCCTGCCACCTTGTTTTGTGGAAAAAGACTTCTTTGAGGGGTTCCCCTTGACCGTATCCGACAACGAGGCCGATATCATCAGGAGGCTCGACAAGGAAGGTCGGAGGAAGCACCTCACTTCCAGCATGATCGAGATGGTGAAGATGGCTGAGATGGCGGTTGTCCTTGCGGGTGAAGGGTCAGACTCCTTGGACCGGGTCAATGAGCTGGAGTCAGAGAAAGCGGTTCTCGTGACCAAAACCCACAAACTGAAGACTGCTCTTGAACGCTCTGAGGAAATGTTTCAGGAGCAGTCCGACATGCCATCGGGGGAGAAGGAGAGGGCCGACAGATCCCTCGAAGACAAAGAATGCCTCCAGCTCGATAAGGAGCGGTTGGAGAGTGACAACCAACGGCTGTTGAGAGAGGTCGAAGATCTGAGGGCCGCTATGCTGCCCGAGGAGGACGAGCCTGAAGGGGTGGCCGACTTACGCACACGTGCTGATTTCATCGCTCGAATTCAACTTCTGGAGTCAGACTGTGTTGATGCTTTGGCCGGTGGCTTTGAGTCTGCTGTGAATCAACTGTCCGTGCTGAACCCGGGGTTGAATACCGAAGGGACTGGGGTTCTGTCCCAGGTTGTTGATGGCCAGGTGGTGCCTCCTCCCGACTCTCCTGATGTCGAATTTGGTACTCCAGGGAGTGATTAATGTTTTTATTGGTGAATTTGGACATGCGTGTCCGCTGTTATTTTAGGGCATGCGTGCCTGCTATCATTCTTCTAGTTTTGTGGCCGTCGTGCCTAAACTGTAATTTTTGGACAATGCCGGACCTTGTGGTCAACATATTATGATTGCTTTGTTTATGACTGTCTACTTGATGAATGCTTTGTTTATAGTAGTTATCTGATGAATAACAATATTTGATGTATGTGCCCGACCATTATCGTGGTTATGAATTTTTCACGAAGTTTATGTTCGTATGGAGATACTCGTTCGACCCTAATGTCGGTTCGACGCACTTCGAAATGTGTTGAGGGTGCGGAGTAGGGATCTGTGTGACAGGCGTATGATCGCGATCGGGATCCTATGCTCGTGACATGAACTGCCCATCGCGAGCTGGGTGTTCTTCCATGTTGGGTTACTTTGACAACGAAGCTCGATCGAGGTGTCCTTGTCGGGCATGTATGTTGTTCGTCGAGGTGAACAACATTATTCCTTCGTTGGTTGGTAGGTCGGGCCCGTACCTCGACTCGCCTACGTGGCCGAGCTTTTCCCTTCGTCGACTGAAGGTGAACATTCGACGGAAAAAGTCCCCAGCAGGTGAGGGGCTTTAGCTATAATATTGTTTTAGCTTCGCAACATTCCAGGGTCGCGGTAGTGGTTCTCCATTTAATTGCTCGAGATAATATGCTCCGGTGCCCGTAGCTCCATGGACGCGATAAGGTCCCTCCCAGTTTGAGGCCAACTTCCCTTCGCGGGAATCCTTCTGGTTTCTCCG